TCTCTGAGGCTTATTCGTCATCAATGATTGCGTTTTACCCTCAGACTGCTCTATTCTAGGGGTGAGATCTAACAGACTGGAAAACTTGCTCATAGATTGATTAACACTAGTATTTACCAGTTTCAGGATATCATCAAACTTTGGCTCGATACCCTCATCCTCCATACGGGAGCTTATCTTCACCCACTTCCTTTGCAGTCGGGTAGGTAGACGTCTTGCTATTACTTCTAGTATAAAACTCGAGTTGAGGTCACTCATTCGATTCATCGAAATCATTCCATTCTTGTAAATTAGCAAATTATCTAAAAACTCAGTGAGTGCCTGGGAGTCATCCTGTAATTGACCACCATTACCCTCAACAGCCTCGAATAATTTCCCTGCAATCATCGAAGGTCTTCCAAACCTTTGGCGTAATATGCTCATAGCCTCATCGTAGCCCTCCTTTGGCTTCATAAACTTACAACACTGTATAGCTCTTGCAGCATCTCCAGTGCAATATCTCATCAAATACATCAATTTCAATTCATCATTTAATAAAAAACCACTCAACATGATCTCAAACTCCTTTACAAATTGTAAATAATCAGCCGGGTTTCCATCAAAACACCGTGGTTCAAATTTAGGGAGTTTGATGTTCCTATTATCCCTGAACGGCGAAACAGTAACATCAACCATATCATGCTTAACATCAGACACATCGTTACAATTAACAGACAAGTCACCATGACTTACTTTCCTGTTTGCATCCAAGACACTCTGTCCCTTCTTTGACCCAGGCATTGTTGAACTTGACCCAATTCCAAAAAAGTTCCAGATATTGCTTGTTCAAAGAGGACTTGACCGGCACCAGGAAAGATGAACGGTGACTATCCAAACTTTCACCAACTGTTTGAATCCGCCAGATCTGTTTCTATCGTCAGAAACTGTCATCAAAGTCTCATAAACCGTTAATGCCCAGCTCTCGCTACGCTCGGGCCCACGCTGTTCTTAGAAGATTTCTGAGAAACGCTTAGTAACAACGGACGAAAAAACCAGAACACCAATTGTTGACTTGAGTATTATGTATTGTTACACCAGCATATAAATCAAGTATCACTAAGCAAACTAAGAAAACTAAGGTCTGTAAACAAATATTACAATAATAAATCGTTATGTTACTTCTGACGATATTTAACTCTTCTTTCTGAACAGCGACCGATGAGACGATGACTGTCGTATTGATGCCTCCGCGAAAATCGAGGAAGTTGATTTTGAGCAAACAACCAAGAATTGATCGTTCAATCTTCAACTCCATTGACAGGGCTCTGAGGTGAGACAGAGTCAGTGTGTGTACTATTTCCTGGATGAACTGTGCAGCGAGTGGGGCTATTGTTTGCTGCAGCCGAAAATAATCCTGTTGCATATTTTGTCTGTTAGCATCCATGGGTCGGCATCTGCGTTCATCTACTGGTGATATATGGTCTGCCCTGCAATTTGCGTTGTAGTTTGCTGGACCTAGGTACCCTGTGTTAAGATTACCCTGGTAGTTGTACCTCATGGGGCTTTCATAGCCGTATGCATATTGGTTCACGTCACGTGTGTGAGTGAAGTTATTGAGGGGATCAAGTGTCGACCTGTTCTCATTAAGTTGATGGGGTTTAACATAGATAGTGCGAGAGTCTGGACGAGAATTTTCGTTAATATGGTGCCTATATGAGTCCCGTTTAGTGCCCCATATATCCCGAGGATCCATTCTACGTTGCATTCCCAAGTTATGTGCGTTGTTAGGCATGTTACTTCTAGTTCGGGAAAGGGTATTCCTTCTCACATGCTGCGTGACGTCTTTGGGAGTGTGCTTCGTTACCCATGCTTTGTCATTTTTTAGACTGACACGCTGCTTATTTGACTTATTACGACGGAGGTGTGTCGAAGCCTGGGGTGGGACTCTGGGTTTTGTGGTCTTTTTTGCCGTTTCTACTGAGGGAACCTCTGGCTTGGATCCAGATTGAGTGTGGTCTGCCAGTAGTTTCTGGTCAGCCATAGTTTGTGCGTCTATGTCAACCTCATGTAGGTCAGCAGGTTTTCGAGATGTGCTCTCGTGCACTCTAAGACTGCACCCGGCGACACTGCTCTTACTGAGTTTTGGGTCGCTCTTACTTGCCGTTTTTTCTCCTAACACTATACACGTGACTTGCTGTGCTTCAGTGTCCGTCGACACTTTAGCACTCATACCAGATGTATTTCTCAGTGTTGTCAACTTTGTGTCGAAAGAGTTCTTGGTTGCTTGCCTTTGGTTTGGTGTTCTTATCCGAGACTACTTTAATAGTCTTGAATTTAGTGGCAGTAGCCAGAAGATCTTCGGCCATCTTAAATCGTTCAGTTGTTATGTAGCTGTCGAACCTAAAGAGTATAGGACAAGGATGCTTTAGGTCTTTTTTGCTTAGGCGAATGCACTGACAGGGTGCATTCAACAGATTTGCAGCCTTCAGCAATGAGTGCTGGACTGACTTTATGGGCTCGCTATCCGGTACATTATACACTATTGCGTTTTGTTTTGAAGCCAGCTTTTTAACAACTTCACTGGATAGAAAGTCGATGACGTTTTCTAACTCCTTCGCACTTTTTGAGTCAGTATGAGTCATTCTAGAGGTCATATTAAAGAGCTGTAGGATTGTAGGATCCTGCAGTTCCTTTTTCATATGTGAGATAGTTTCGGGTGTACATTCTAGTGAACTTAATTTCGTTTTTAATTCATCTATCTGTACCTGCATCTCCTTAATTACGCACGTTAAGAAAGAGAGCTCTACTTTTTCAGACAGAACATCTTCCACCTGTATTACAGGGGTCAGAGTTATGTTCGAGGCTTTTATGTTGGGTGAACTACTAATAATATGGGGTGGTAATGTGTTATTAGACGAGCCGGTGCTATTTTCTAAATTACTGGTGTTCACACAAACACGCTTTTTAGAATTTTGAACCATCGTTATTAAAGATCAATTATTAGTAACCAATAAATGGATATAAGCGAAAACACGTGCAAAAGCGTTACCTGATTTGAACGTACCGGGCTAACTAGTTCTGACACGATACAAGAATGAGATAAGTATGTGACGTGGGGAGACAAATGTTTCTTAACCATAAACAACAAGAAAATGGGGGCACGAGTTACGACACTGACTTCTTGTGCATGTATGTTTTCTGGGAACTAGACAATTGTGAGTTGCGGATCATTTATTTAACACATTAGTTTCGGATACTCGTCTCTGGCTGGTTGAAATGTTGAGTAAACCAGAGTACGCATTTAGGCCAACACTAAGTCCTGGTCTGGGTAGGTGGCTATCCTGATGCGAAGTTCCGTGATTGTATAGAATTTGGTAATGGATAAAGATGACATCCTAGGAGTAGGTTAATAAAATCTGTACCCGTTGTGGGTCTAGTGACGTCTGCAAGCGTGGAAGTCGAATGAGGAGGTTTACATAAAAGCGGAGTCAGTTAAATGTACTTTCACCTTAAAAAAATGATCAGTTTTCCACATGCCGCTTGAACACAAAAAGCCTACCACTTTCTGGCAATTTATGTTTGTGGCTAGTAGGAAAATCACTCCCTGAGCGGTCCCGAAGCGTCACTGAAAATTAATAGTGACGGCCGCTATGTAGGGTTGATAGCTGCCGCCGTCACCTACAGTAGTCGCGGAAGCATGTCTTTGACATGATTTACCTGATTGTTGCAGTGTCCGCAAAATTTCAAGGTCTCCTGCAGAACTTTGCTTCCTGGTAATTAGCATTACAATACACGCCTACATTAGGTTCTCACTCCTAGGTAGTTCAATTCTCTCGGGAGAGCTGCCATGTCCACATGGGTTTCGGTAGGAGATTAGACCGTTGAGGGTATACTGAGTGTGGGACGTTGACCAATTTCAGAGCCTGGTGATTAGGCAGTAATTTTTCGATACCACATGAAGAGACTGTTAAGATATTTCCAGCACTTCATAATTAATGTAGACTGCATGAAGGATTATAGGAACATTTTTTATTTACTATGGCAACTTAGATCTTCAGTGTGAAGTATGACTAGACGCGTCCGTGTTAATGTGTAGACGGGTCCTTAATTTGAAAATGTCTTAGGTTACTTATTTCCTAGTCAACCATATATAATGTGACGTAGGTGTTCGATTACTTAGACAAAGCGCATGCAACCGTAGAAAATTGTGGTTGCAGTTCGTTTGCACCATGTTCATGGAAGTCAACTTCGACATAAGAAACTTTTCCTCGAGGTCTGGAGAAATGGGAATTATATCACACTTCATGGGTGGTTGTCAAGTGCTGGAATGGATAAACTATGGGAACTGTGCCTGAGCTTTATTTTGGCACTCAACCATCATTCTAAGGATATTCTTAGAAAACAGCAGTGTATGATATTCCAACGGTCTGCCGGTTACATAACTCACTGGGGTTCAGTGTAAGTGGGCAAATTTATTTTCATAAACCTCTCGTCCGGATGAAATGCCAGGTAAATTACCGAGAAGAGACGGTGACTTCCTTTATCTACTCTATAAGTGCGTAGTAATGCAAACATATATTTAAAAAGACTCTTGTACATATTCACGAAAGATAAACACCCCAGGAAGTGACGATGTGTAACTGCATATGAATCTGACTCGCATTCAGATGATGAGGGTAGTAGGCTCTTGTGGCCTGTGTTAATCATTGCAAAATATATCTCTGCCGAGATCTAAATCCTCTTTGAGAGCTTCACCGATGGAGCTGATACTACTGAATCAGGTAAGGAGTTCCAGTCGTTGACCACTGTGAGAGAATCTAAATTCTGCATTATGTAGCGAGATATTGGGGTTTGGCGGAAGAAGAATGATAAAAAATATTGTGGCATAAGTTTATCAGGGAATGGAATATGTTTCAGTTCTTTGACTCTGAAATGTGATCAAGTTAGTGCAGATTGAATGCTTTCAAACTACGCTACACTGTTTTAATCAGTGGCAACGGACTGTATCCCGCAATACCGAGATGGCCGACCGTGAGTCTACCTGTTTACGTTTTGTACTGTAATTAAAGCTTAGTATCCTGCCTAGATGGTAATTTCCGGCACTGTAAACTTTTACATATGCAGTATTTTGATCTTAAAGTATTCCCACCTGGTCATCCATGTCATCTCAACCGTGACTGGAACTGAAATAACTGCTTTTGCTTTCTAATGCGGCATCTATGCTCTCTATAAGGATCGTACGTGCTGCTCGACGGTAGACAGTACACTATGTTAGTTGGTAACTGTAATTCTGATGCAATTCAGTGCAAGGAGGCACTTCAAGACCTCACGCGACCGCGTAGAGGCTTTCGGAGTTGTGAAGTAAAACGATGACTAATAGTGGTATCCATTGGGGATAGTTGTTGTCTCCACTTTTGTCTGAATTCATCATAGGCTCACTAATGGATATGACTCAAGTATTGGAAAGTAAAACCAGGGGATTCTCGTCGACATATAGTATGCATATTTCGTCCTAGATGACGATTCCATAGGCAGTCTTCAGAATGATTGGAGCAGGAGTTTGTATTTGGCATTTCCTCTTTTTCATATGGAAGGTGATGTTTCAGAGCTGGTTTGTACCGACTCTTACTTGTAAGCAGTTATATGGCTGGATGTGGTTACCTCATCTATAGGAAAAGTTCTTCCCCCACCTACTGGTCTTAAAGGTAACATTAGCAAGCACACAAAGCTTGTTTGGTATTTGTCGACATGATATCCGAATATTGATCGAAAGGCATTTATATTACAAAGTAGTTCTCTGTGATACGTGGACAACGAGAATGGATGTAAAAAGCTAGTTGCTTTCACTGCAGGTGTTTGCGTTGAATCTCCCGTGTTAAGTAGTGTTATGTGGTGGCGCAACGGTAGAGTGCTTGCCGGCCATGCAGGTGGTCCAGCGTTCGATCCACGGCCGACACTCCTTTGTGCGTCGGTGGCACAATGGTTAGGACTCTCGACGACCATGCACATGGTCCGGGGTTCGAGCTCACACCGGCGCACACCAGATATCTGTGGTCGGCCTGCGAAATTTGGGCTACCGATATCCACGCTGAAAATTCCATACTTGTACCAAAAATACAGTGTGGAATCAAGCTGTTACCAAAAATAAATAAAAAATACCTCGTTAAACCAGTAGTTTGACTGGTGAAGAGGGGAGGTTAGGCATGAGGAGAGCAACCCCATCTTGTAAAGAAGTCACCACTGCTACAGAAACTTCAAGCCTCTAAGTTGAAGCTCTGTGTTCCGCTAAAGATGTAAAGGAATGAAAAAATATGATGGGAAGTCCAGTGGCTAGGTTTAGCGTCAGGTAAGGAGGGCAGGTCAGTCGGTAAGGTGATACTGCATCGTTGAGATGCCTAGGGAACGCTTAGTGCATACAGGACCACTTTCCACATCGAGCAATACTATGGTTAAACTAAAATATCAATTCATGAAGACTGCCCTCTGGTTTAAGCCACGTTTTGGTGTTAACTGCTTGGCTGGGAACCCCGAAACGCTTAGAACCAGTAGTAAGAGACTCGGCGATGTGGCCCTAAATTATTCTCCTGTGTACTACCATGTTAACGTCCGACGACCTAATGCTTATATAAGACCTTTTTTATTGTAAATTAGGTCTTCGATTCAGTATTCTAATTGTTTTCTGGTATAATTTTTGAGACGACACATGTACAGCATTCACTGTTTTAGTTCAGGTAGATACTGTTATTGGTAAACGTGGGTGGGTAGAACCTGCGCTAAAGCAGATTAATTTTACTTTTATTGGCGTATACGTTGTCAATAATGACAACACACAGAGCTCTTTTCATGTACCTTATGATCTTCGTTTATCTCATCTCAAAACCTACTACCTCCTTTTTGCTTGTTGGTTTGCTGGTCAGTATGATATCCAGGAGAATAATTTCTATTCCAGCTACTAGAATATGCATAATTTTCCCAACTCAACTAGTCATTTTTGGTAATAAATGGGTTGTGTATTGGTAGGATGCATAAAAGTAAGTTCCAGGTAAGCAGGAGCGTAGATCCGTAATTATAAGTGTTTTAAAAATGTGGAGAAACTGGTTGTATAACTGTCAGTTTTGCTTCAGCTTATTTCAAATGAGAATTATAAGAGGTATCCTTTTCTTAGAAATTGTGTATTTGAAATCCGTCCAGTACCTGTTGAGTGTGCGTTGAGTAGAATAGTATTATTAGTCCAGTCGCTTGTCTATGGGTAAGTGGAATGCAGGTCAGGTTTGTTCCTACTTTCATATATTTTAAATCGTTTGCTAATGTAGATACATGTAAAAACTTATTACGGTTGTTTTTTTAAATTGTAGAATTCGCCTATGCGAATATGCAACAAGCAAGTCAAGCTGGATATCCTCCCTTCCACTATCCTACAGCAAGTGGTGACCAGAATGCCCAATTACTTCAGGGTTATGCACTTTCCCAACAAGGAAATCCAGCCGCTGGAGTTCCTGGCTCAATGTTTGGAGCACAGTCAGCTGCTTCATATAATTTCGATCAAACCGCATCTGGTTACAACCAGTCCTCATCCATCCCTGTATGCCAAGTAGACGGTTCCCAAGTTTCCATGCAACCTGGTTTGTGCGATGTAACCTTTCTTACTTCTCTTAGGCGCTGGGGGTTTTGCCTATCCTAACTATTCTGGGTCTTTCGGCCACTATCCTGGAATGGGGCAGGGTATGCCTCCTGGACTTTCAGCTGTCCAAGCAGGATTCAGTACAGGTATTGCAACACTTCATAGTTTGATTTTGTCTTAAAGATATGCAGCAGTTTGGCCCACTAATGGCCAATGCATTTGGGCAAACAATGTCTGCTAATGGGGCGATTTTAGAGGCAATAGCTCATGAGCAAGGTCTTGCAGGTTAGATTTGTAAACATGGCAAGGTTTATGAATTCCAGGTTTTAATCCAGTCGCTTTTCTCCAAGACCCATCTGGTTCGTCTACGCGTGGAATGGGCACCGGCAGAGGCAGTAGGTATGTTAAGTGTGCGATATCTTTGGTACCTGCGAATATCGAACGGTGTTTTGAGTTTTGATCGAAAATTTTTGAGTTTCTTCTACTAAAATCGGTCGCGTATTTGGGTTCAATTTGAGTGGGAGCTGTATTTTTCGTCAATTGTTTTCGGTAACCCTTATTGGTAATTTGCAATCAATGGTTTTATGGTATATGTGTGAGTCTTGGTATTTTTGGCTCCCCGCTTTAATATTTTTTTACAGAAGCAAATGTTGTCTTCTGGTGTTTTTGTATTTTCCACTATTTTGAATTTAACGAAGATTAGTGTTTTTCAGCCAAAGAGGTGGATATAACAAGTTCAGCGGTAAGTCGTTTTCAGTCAATTTTTCAAAAATCTGCTAGCTGAAAATTCAGCAGCTGTTATGAGAATTTTTCTATTACATCGCCTGTTTTTATTATCTATCGTTCATTAGGTTCACGGTCGGTATCAAATCTGCCAAGTGTCACTAATCGTGAGTTTTGTATTCATCAAAAAATTTATACTTGTCTGTTTAGCTGATGGTCTCCGCGAAGATACGATATTTATCAGTAATCTGCCTCAGACGATTGATCATGAAGTGATGAAGTCTCAATTTGGTGTTGTGGGAAAAATTAAGGTAATTTTCATACATCAATGGATCAATGAGAATGTTTAATTTAGATCAATTCAAAGAGTGGAATGCCTATGATATGGATATTCAAAGAGAAAGGCATACCTAAAGGAGAAGCACTTGTAACATATGAAGATCCCAGTTGTGTTCAAGCAGCGATTCAGTGGTTCAAAGGTTCGTTTGTGTACCTTTGATTTGTCACTACGTTATCTTGTATATAACTTTATGTTGCCACCAGCAGTGTTTAACCACCCTAAATCTTAAATTTACCAATATTTCTTTTTTTTTCAGAGCACGATTTCCTAGGGAAGAAAATTGAAGTCAAACAGGCTATCAACAGTCAGAGACCAGTCATCATCCCTCCTGGCGGTGGTGGTGGTGGACTGCTTGGAGGAAACGGAACTGGACCAAACAACCCCGCCGCTGCTCTGGCTGTGGCGGCCGTAGCTGCAGCTGCCAGTGGGAACACTGTGGCGAGTTTGATGAACAATAGTGCGGCCGCTGCTGCTAGTCTTGCAGCTCTCACAGCTAGCAATCCCCAGCTTGCTGCTCATTTTGAATCCAAAGACTATCAAGGTATGGGTCGTGGGGGAAGTACAGCATCTCGTGGAGGAAGTCGTGGAGCAGTCACAAATGGCTCTGCTGCCGCTGCTCCGGCTGCTGCTGCTGCCGCTGGACGAACGCACTCTGGCTCAGCTCAAGCCGGTTCTAGAGAAGGCGATTGGAGTTGTCCTCAGTGCGGCAATATTAATTTTTCCTGGCGTGAACAGTGTAACAGATGCCAGGTAGGTTGTGTGTTTTTTCTAGCAGGATAGAAGTAGTCAGTTTCACATGTGCTGCTGACACATTTTTTATGAGGTGGATAGGTACTGAGTGTTGGGACCTGCAGCCTATGATTTCAGTATGTGAGGTAAAAACAATGTCTCAAATATCACTTTATTTAAGCTGTTACCAGACCAAGTGCCACACTTGTTTAGGCTGGCTCTGACAATCATTTCTTTTATTTGATTCCTCTATTACAACTTACAGTCTGAGGTGAACGCACCTCTTATTGAGGTCGTTATGTGTCGTGCCTATTTTGATGGTACGGCTTCTTAAGCCTCTCATCTTTCTAATCTTTTCATATTTCTAAAGAATACCTAAGCGTCCACTTTTGATAAAGCTTGTTTGCTTTATGTTCAGTTTTTAGAAACAGTTTTTGAGGAAAAATTTCTAACGTTCAACTTCGCTAACTCTTCAATATGACTGCGTATTATTTTGTTAAGTATTTTTATGTCTTGCAGTTCAATTTTGAAATGTATTCACGGTTGTTCTGAATATGCTTCCTTCCTTTTCACAGTCAACGCGTACTGGTGATGGATCTGGTGGCGGAGATATTGACGCTAATGCCAGGAATAATAATAATATGAATGCAGTCGGCCGTCCTGCTCAACCTCCTGTTGCAAATATGAATTCTAATCCTCAACAAAATGCCCCTGGATATGGACGAGGTGGTGGAGCGAATCCTTCGGCGAGTGGTAATCGTGGTGGACGAGGTGGTGGTCCCATGCGTGGAAGTAGTGTTGGTACTGGTCGAGCACGTCCAGCACCTTATTAGGTCCATAATGATATATACATACATGCGTGAATAATTGTGGAGAAGTGTCGTGAAATATATCCTGACATTCACAGGATGCATTTGAGGTCCCCTACTGTCTCTCTGCATACTTAGTAATTAATGTCTGTTATTTCATTTAACTGTGAATGGTTTGTGAATTTGTATTGTATTTGAATTATGTAATTATGGGTCATTTAATTCTGCAGTTGTTATAAACTTTGCTCTTACTTGGTTGTTTTTTGATTAAGAATTAGTTGAGTATCTTCAAGGAAGTGGTGACTAATTTCAGTGTTATTCTTGCGTTGTTAACATTTTTGTTGACAATGCGGAAGTGGTCTGTAACCGATTTAGGTAATATTGTCGTTAAACTATTAGATGTACTCAACTAGGTGCTGTTATGTGTACTTATAATGACACACTATTGACTTTTACCTTGTCTTTTGTCTGGTTAGTTGGATGAACTTAGTGGTATTCTCCCTTGAGTTTATTGTAAGGACGTGTTTGGCATTTTTTTTGTGTGGGTCTTTGTGGTCGATGTAACATGTAAGCTGTCTGGTGAACAGTAAGTAGTAATCTATTATGTCTAAAAAGAACTTCATGTCCATCCTTTTGTTATGTTATTAATAGTGAGTCTGTTTGTTGAAAGAAGACCATTGTCCAATATTTAGATGTTAAGGATAGCCGATCGGGAAGTAGTCCCAGTCTTAGCAGCAATAGAAGAAAGTAAATTTATTTCCTCTGAGTTATTTATAAGTTGGAGGTTTTTGTGTTGGTTCCATATAGAATTAGAATTATTATTTTTAAGTCATCAGAAGTCATTGTGACTGGCCAAGTTTCCACATAGAACTTAGTGTGCAGCACACGGAGGCAGTAAAAGGAAATAAAAAAACTACAGACAGGAATATGCGGGTTACATGGTAGTAACATGGAGGGTTTATGCATTTATACCATCGGCAACGATTTTGAATCGTATCCCAAATCGTCGGCACCTAAGCATCCTGAAATAGCCAACTTAGTGGTCCCCATGTTTCTACGTGGCTAGCGCAAACCAACTGTAAGAGGGGGCTGTTTGCTCGTCTTGTGTAACATTTGTCCTAGCCGTATTAATCACTGTAGCTTCACAATCTTATTTGTCGATTTTCTTTCTCCCTCCAGCACTCTGTGTCTTATCCTAATATTGCTCACCATATTATGCCACTTAACACGGGAGATGAAATGAAAACATTAGTTGGTTAAGGAGGATGACTAACCTTCTCGTAGGTCATGACTCACGAATATCTGAATTGCAGGTTGTTTAGACGGCACATCGTAAGTTATGCTGACAGCATTATGACAGGTTGGTGGAGATGTACATTTATACTCATCCCTTATTGTTACTTTTGATTCCACTTCTTAAACAATCTGTAAATAATACAAGTAGGAGGGTGTAGACTTCCCGACTGGTTGGGGTCCTCGGGACGGTGAAAACCAATGATACATGGAGACAAACGGTGATATGGCTCAGACCCGTCGTTCTCAATGGCTGGCTGGCGCAGATGCATCCACTCCTTGTGACTTATGATTTCCAATAGAACTATATTGTTCTTCGTTATTACTATTCCTTTGTCTCACACCTCTGATTACTGTCTCTATTATGCATTTCTTCTACTTTCTTCTGTTGGTTTGTGTGCTACAAGGAGGGAGTGTGGTGACTTGAACTGGTTCACATCGGTGCAAAGTTCTATGTTGACAACAGACAGAAATAATACAAGTTTGGAAATACTGCAGCAGCTTGACATTTTTACTTCGTACGAAATATTTTTCTCCGCTACATTAACTAGCGTACATACGATCATAGGAACAATTAGTTACTAGAGATTTCTATCAACAACGTAATAATATTTCCATCTAATGATATTTGTTACTCTTATGTTGTTAACTAGCAAATGTATTATATGGTCATTGGACACGCGGTTTTAATTATTTCCATTTTTGAATCGGGTAATTGATCTGATCTGTGTGGTTTACACTTAAAAGATAATGTACTTCCATACTGTTGACGTACTTACACATAGAGTTCAGCATTCGCTTGATGGGCTCAATGGGATGAGAGTCAATCAGTTAAAGAGACTTACTACAGTAACTTCGAATGATTGCGAAATAAGTAAGCAATCGATATAGATGTCTCTCGATTGGCTGTAACTAACATGACAATCAATTTCAGAAAACTCATGATCACTTGTAGACATCGCGTCTGTCCTGTTAGTGTAGTACTGTAGCATATTTGCAATTTGTTCTCTAAACTTAAGAAGCACCTGTGGCCTTTGCGTCAACCTTACGGTTACTAGTTGTCTCTCACATTATCAAAGTCGAGGTCTAATTCGGTTTCTTCATTTAGGAAGGGTTTGCTATATGTATAGACTTCAGGCACTGATAATTCCATAATTTTACTGCATAAGACAAAACGATGCAGTATTGCTTATTTGCTGATGATTGCTCGAGCACAATTTGTTGCTCGTAATCATACGAAGCTGCTCACATAACTCCCAGGTTTTGCTGATGTATTTTCGTTCTTTCCTCTTCTCTGATTTTATTGGAAACGATCCTTTCTACATCTCTAGTGTTGGTGTATGAAATTTCTATTGCACGTGTTAGGTGTGTAAATTAGATGGACCAAAGGTTCGATCATCTGCCTGCCTCTTTGTCTAACTATAGTAAGGTTTAGAATTGTAGTTCTGTCTCACCGTATTCCTCTAAACTGTTCACCTTCGCGACGTTAGTCACCCTACAATTGGCTGAATTCTTAGGTTCCGACAATCTACCTACCTTAGATCTCCTGGTCTATATGGTTGACATCACAGTCATTGCAAGGCATTTTGTAGATTAAGTTAATTTGTCTACCTTAATCAACGGGGTCTTTTAGCCTACAGAGCTTGTCCTTACCTGAGTGAGTTGGTATGTTGCAATGCCACCCTGATTCCTGCTTTTGTTAGGCATGCTACGTGTAATGTCAGATGTACCTTCTTCATATTGGTAAAACTGTAGATGCTTTAAATTCTTTCTTATTTATGTTATAAACAATAGGTGCACTGCTGCTGTTGTGAGTTCTTTGTTCTTAATAAATTTCTATCTGTTTCATTTCATCACTTAGGTTTTTTTGATGTACTACTTAGTGCTGTTACTGAGTTTGTTAGACACTTAACTAAGCCCTGCCTTTACAGATAATGGATGATGAGATGAATTAAAGTTTAAATATCTATCAGGAGAATGCGCTGACTTTCTATGAACGCTAGTGCACAGTTCCCTTCTGTTCGTTTTATTTTACCATCTAACATTTTATGATTCACAGTATTAAATTTAATTCTCTCTACTATTGAATTTGTATGTGTCGAGAAGTTTAAGATGTATTCTTGTTTCAAACACCGTGAAAGTGTCATCCACGTATATAAAACCATTGATTTCACAGGTAGGATTTAATGTTCTAAGAGACATATTTCCCCAGCTATCCATCTATCTACATTAGGAATATTGAGGATACTCATTTTGATGGGACTGTAGTCAGTCACTAGTGTAGTGTGTGTCTAGTCCTTGATGTTTGGTACAGACTGAATTTTGTCAGTGAAGTTTGCCAACTGGCACGAAACCTAGGTCCAGGGCTTTCCTGCCGATTACCTCCAACCATCTAATACCAACAATTCACAATGTACCGTGATGGTGAGCCACTTAACATGGTGGCTACACTGGAAACTTGACTGGTGGAATTCAGTCTGCACCGAAAGATAGGACTAGATACTTTGCACTAGTGTTCCATCGTAAAAATCCAATACAGTCTTACAAAAGGTCAGTGGCGAGCGCGAATAGCTGGCTCAGTGGTAACGTCTCTGACTGCAGTACTCACTGGATGACACGGGTTCGAATCCTAGAAGGAGGGACATGAGTTCCTTCGACGTCGCAGATGCGCCTTGCTGACTAGTGAGTGCCGACTAGCACAAATCCACGGTCGAGCGGGGCTTCCTGTTACTTACCTTCAACCATCAGATGATACCCTTGTCCACGATTAGTCATCTCCTCTTGTCATCCGTCCTACATATTTCCCTCAAACCCCTCCTTATATTGGAAATCACCAGATAGGCAACACAATTGAATTTCGTAATATAATATCTTCAACGGGGATGTGATTTCGTCTTATGTGAGTGGATTCAGGATCAGTAGTCAGTTCTTACCTAACTGCTTCTATAGCTATACTGATTGGTGTATTAGCATAAGGACTAGTTATCTGAAAAATAACCGATTTCCTCGGAAGCCACAAAATGCTTATCACAACGAAACCTGAAGAAGAAATTAAGCAGGAACAAGTGGAGTCATTATATTCTGTGTTGGGTCTTCTCAACCACAACAATAAACAAATTTTTATTGACAATACACAAATTCTTCACATAACATAGTTATTGATCTTAAGGTGAAGGGCATTAATATAACGTAATTAAATACCATAATAGAAAGGAATGCAGCTTACTGTTAAGTCTGTCTGTCTGTTTTCGACATAGAACTTTGCACAAATGTGCGGAAGTTCAAGTCGCCACATTCCGTGTAGCACGCGAAGCAAGAGAAGAAAGTACAAGAAAAGCAAATAGAAACAGTGAGCAGAGGTGTGAGACAAAGGAGTAATAAAGAAATACAAAACAGTTTCATTGGAGATCATAAGTCACAGGGAGTGGATGCATCTGCGCCACTGAGAACGATTTTGAGCCATGTCACCAATTGTTTCCAACCATAGATTTTTACCGTCCCGAGGACCCCAGCCTGGAAGTCTACACCTTCCTACGTGGCTTAGACCAACTGTTGTGGATTTCATTGACTGATGCCAAGTTTTTGTTTGACCGCCGCTAGCTTTTTTCCAGCCTGACCCTATATCCGCTAACATTGCTCGTCGAGGGAGGCGATGGCTTGGCATACGTAACACATGTCCTAACCATCTCAGTCTTTGTAGCTTCACGACTTCGTCGATTGATTTCCCCTGT